CTGACCTCAGCATTCAGCCACCTACTGCCGATCTGGAGGTCCAGGCTGGCCAGGTGGATGTGAAGCTCCCAGAGGGCCACGTGTCCGAGGGAGCCAGACTCAAAGGGTACCTGCCCAAGGTGCAGAAGCCCAGCTTCAAGGGGCCCAAAGTGGACCTCAAGGGCCTCCAGGTGGACGTCAAGGGCCCCAAGCTGGACCTGAAAAGTTCCAAGGCGGAAGTGACGGTCCCCACTGCCCCTGATGTGGAGTTGTCTCTGCTCAGTGTGGATGTGGACGTCCAGGCCCCGGGAGCCAAGCTGGATGGCGTGCAGCTGGAGGGGGACATATCCCTGGCTGAGAAGAATGTGGCCATCGCCAAAGACAGCAAGTTCAAGATGCCCAAGTTCAAGATGCCATCATTTGGGGTGGCTGCCCCAGGGAAGTCCATCGAGGCATCGGTGGATGTGTCTGTGCCAAAGGTGGAGGCCGAAGTGAGCCTCCCCTCCATGCAAGGGGATCTCAAGACCACTGACCTCAGCATTCAGGCCCCTTCCGCTGACGTGGAGGTCCAGGCTGGCCAGGTGGACTTGAAGCTCGCAGAGGGCCACGTGCCTCTGGGAGCTGGCCTCAAAGGGCACCTGCCCAAGGTGCAGATACCCAGCTTCAAGATGCCCAAAGTGGACCTCAAGGGCCCTAAGCTAGACCTGCAAAGCCCCAAGGCAGAAGTGATGGTCCCCATGGCCCCCGATGTGGAAGTGTCTCTGCCCAGTGTGGGGGTGAACATCCAGGCCCCGGGAGACAAGGTAGATAGCGCACAGCTGGAAGGGGACCTGTCCCTGGCTGAGAAGGACATGGCCGCCACCAAAGACAGCAAGTTCAAGATGCCCAAGTTTAAGATGCCCAAAGTGGACCTCAAGGGCCCCCAGGTGGACATCAAGGGCCCCAAACTGGACCTGAAAGGCTCCCAGGTGGAGATGATGGCCCCGGACGTGGAGGTGCATCTGCCCAGTGTGGATGTGGATGTTCAGGCCCCGGTAGCCAAGCTGGACAGCGCGCAGCTGGAGGGGGACCTATCCCTGGCTGACAAGGACGTGGCCATCGCCAAAGACAGCAAGTTCAAGATGCCCAAGTTCAAGATACCATCATTCGGAGTGTCAGCCCCAGGCAAGTCCATCGAGGCCTCGGTGGATGTGTCTGTGCTGAAGATGGAGGGCGACATGAGCCTCCCTTCCATGCAGGGCGACCTCAAGACCACTGACCTCAGCATTCCGGCCCCTACCGCCAACTTGGAGGTCCAGGCTGGAAAGGTGGATGTGAAGCTCCGAGAGGGCCATGTACCCGAGGGAACCAGCCTCAAAGGGCACCTGCCCAAGGTGCAGATGTCCAGCTTCAAGATGCCCAAAGTGGACCTAAAGGGCCCCGAGGTGGACATCAAGGGCCCCAAGCTGGACCTGAAAGGCCCCAAGGCAGAGGTGATGGCCCCTGACATGGAGGTGTCTCTGCCCAGCGTGGAGATGGACGTTCAGGACCCGGGAGCCAAGCTGGATGACGTGCAGCTGGAGGGGGACCTATCCCTGCCTGACAAGGACGTGGCTGTCGCCAAAGACAGCAAGTTCAAGATGCCCAAGTTCAAGATGCCATCATTCGGAACGTCGGCCCCAGGGAAGTCCTTCGAGGCCTTGGTGGACGTGTCTGCGCCGAAAGTGGAGGTCGAGGTGAGCCTCCCTTCCATGCAGGGGGACCTTAAGACCACTGAACTCAGCATTCAGGCCCCTACTGCCGATCTAGAGGTCCAGGCTGGCCAGGTGGATGTGAAGCTCCCAGAGGGCCACATGCCCAAAGGAGCCAAACTCAAAGGGCACCTGCCCAAGGTGCAGATGCCCAGCTTCAAGGTGCCCAAAGTGGACCTCAAGGGCCCCCAGGTGGACGTCAAGGGCCCCAAGCTGGACCTGAAAAGCCCCAAGGTGGAAGTGGTGGTCCCCACTGACCCCGATGTGGAGGTGGCTCTGCCCAGCATGGAGGTGAAGATCCAGGCCCTGGGAAACAAGGTAGATGGCGTGCGTCTGGAGGGGGACTTGTCTCTAGCTGACAAGGACGTGGCTGCTGCCAAAGACAGCAAGTTCAAGATGCCCAAGTTCAAGATGCCCAAAGTGGACCTCAAGGGCCCCCAGATGGACGTCAAGGACTCTAAGCTGGACCTGAAAGGCTCCAAAGCAGAGGTGATGGCCCCTAATGTGGAGGTGTCTGTGTCCAGCATGGAGGTGGACGTTCAGGCCCCGGGAGCCAAGCTGGATGGCGCACGGCTACAGGGGGACCTGTCCCTGGCCAACAAGGACCTAGCCACCACCAAAGACAGCAAGTTCAAGATGCCCAAGTTCACGATGCCATCATTCGGGGTGTCAGCCCCAGGCCAGTCCATCGAGGCCTCGGTGGACGTGTCTGCACCGAAGGTGTCATCCGAGGTGAGCCTCCACTCCATGCAGGGCGACCTTAAGACCACTGACCTCAGCATTCAGCCTCCTTCCACCGACCTGGAGGTCCAGGCTGGCCAGGTGGACATGAAGCTCCCAGAGGGCCACGTGCCTCTGGGAACCGGCCTCAAAGGGCACCTGCCAAAGGTGCAGATGCCCAGCTTTGACATGCCCAGAGTGGACCTGAAGGGCCCCCAGGTGGACATCAAGGGCCCCAAACTAGACCTGCAAAGCCCCAAGGTGGAAGTAATGGTCCCCATGGCCCCCGATGTGGAAGTGTCTCTGCCCAGTGTGGAGGTGAACATCCAGGCCACCAGAGACAAGGTAGAGCAGCTGGAGGGGGACCTGTCCTTGGCTGACAAGGACATGGCCGCCACCAAAGACAGCAAGTTCAAGATGCCCAAGTTTAAGATGCCGTCCTTCGGGGTGTCAGTCCCAGGGAAGTCCATTGAGGCCTCAGTGGACATGTCTGTGCCGAAGGTGGAGGCCGAGGTGAGCCTCCCATCTATGCCAGGTGACCTCAAGACCACTGACTTCACCATTCAGCCTCCTTCCAGCGACCCGGAGGTCCAGGCTGGCCAGGTGGACATGACGCTCCTAGAGAGCCACGTGCCTAAAGGAGCTGGCCTCAAAGGGCACCTGCCCAAGGTGCAGATGCCTAGCTTCAAGATGCCCAAAGTAGACCTCAAGGGTCCCCAGGTGGACATCAAGGGCCCCAAGCTGGACCTGAAAAGCCCCAAGGCAGAGATGACAGCCTCCGATGTGGAAGTGTCTCTGCCCAGCGTGGAGGTGGATGTCCAAGCCCCGGGAGCCAAACTTGACGGCAGGCAGCTGGAGGGGGTCCTGTCCCTTGCTGACAAGGACGTCACCGCCACCAAAGACAGCAAGTTCAAGATGCCCAAGTTCAAGATGCCATCATTCGGGATGTCAGCCCCAGGCAAGTCCATCGAGGCCTCAGTGGATGTGTCTGCGCCAAACATGGAGGCCCACATGAGCCTCCCCTCCATGCAGAGGGACCTGGAGACCACCGACCTCAGCATTCAGCCCCCTTCTGCTGACATGGAGGTCCAGGCAGGCCATCTGGACATGAAGCTCCCAGAGGGCCATGTGCCCGAGGGAGCCGGCCTCAAAGGGCACCTGCCCAAGGTGCAGATGCCCAGCTTGAAGATGCCCAAAGTGGACCTCACGGGCCCCCAGGTGGACCTCAAGGGCCCCAAGCTGGACCTGAAAGGCCCCAAGATGGAGATGACAGCCCCTGACATGGAAGTGTCTCTGCCCAGTGCGGAGGTGGATGTTGGAGCCAAAATGGACAGTGCGCAACTGGAGGGGGACCTGTCCCTTGCCGACAAGGACGTGGCTGCCTCCAAAGACAGCAAGTTGAAGATGCC